CTTTAAGTCCACTTGAATCTATGTCAATAAACGGTGATTTATCTTCAATATCCCATGCAGTCGGTAAAACAGCATTATCGTACGAAGTTATTAATTCAGAATCTCCCATTAGGTTAAAATTCAATTCCGGTCTTTCGTTTAGACGTATGTGGATTGGTCAACGTTGTGCGTTAGCTGTGTTGAAATTATCGAGATTTCTGATTTCAAAAATATTCTAATACTGATTCTTACCGACTAATATAGAGTATGTATTTGTTGGAATTATCGAGATTTCTGATTTTAAAAATATTCTAATGTTGATTACTTACTAACTAATAGAATGTGGAGGTGTAATTTGGCCTGTTGGCATTTCTGAATTAACGGTTTTGCCTATCGCATTCAAATGAACTATTAATTTTTTCTGACTTTCTAGAGAAAGAATAAAACAATGAACTAAGCATCTCGATTCATCGCCATTAACATCACTTTTCGTAAAAATATTTTTGTAAGAATCTTCTATTTCCATAGGTAAAGAATCATCTAATGCCATAGGCGAAGAATCATCTATTTCTATAGGCGAAGACATTGAATTCTTATCACTAGCATAATAAACACCAAGTTCAATTTTATTATCATTATATCGGTAATTTCGAATATCGGCTTCGAAATTTGGTTCACAATTTGATGAATATTTAAATGAAGTAACGAAAATTGAATTTCGTGGCAGGCTTTCTTGAATATCTAATATAATATTCCAATTAGTTTCAAATGTATTTACTGAAAAAGAAGTACTAATCGATCTTAAAATGCGAATATTTCGTGTATTCATGCTAAAAAATCCAATTTTAGCGGGTATTCCAATTAATATCCATTCTATCTGCAATTCTGTGTCCTCTCTACAAAGTCAATATTAATAGGGCATTGCAGTTAATTAAATTAATAATAACAATGAAAATACATAAACTCACTCAATCGCGTTAAAACCTTCTACGAAAGCATAGAATCCGTATATATCCATAGATTTGAACTTGATAAAAACTTTATCAATTGGTTTTCCATTTTGCTTTACGAGTTTTCCAAAAATTTGGTAATCTTTTGATTTAAAACGAGTTGGAAAATTCACACGATAAGAAAAAATTGAGGCATTAAATGGAATTATTCCAGAAAATAGCACCTTTTCTTTTACATTAAACCTTTCTGGCTGATAGATTATTCCAAGAATAGATTTGATTTCTTGACAAAGAGGCTCTTCAAATATTTCATAAATTGGGTATAATTCATTCCAGCTGATTATTTGTAATGAGTCATAATCGCTTTCTGAGCAAGATTTCATCCACTTTTCAAGATCATCTTTCATAATTAATTTATCGTCAATTGACACAAAATAAGACGAATTAAAACCATAAAAGACCATGCACCATTCCCACTGGCTTAGAATATCATTATATTCTTTTGCCATAAAATCGAATGCTGTCCATTTCCATTCTTTAAAGTTAAAATCTGGCAGACTCTCGTCCGCAATTAAACGAGTAACTCTGTATATTTTATGTCCAAGAATAACTCTTTTTGGAAGAAATTTTCCGTAAATTTCGAAAACATTCATTAATTCATTATAAGGGTTATAATGTTTCAGAGCTTCTTTTGTTTTGGCAACCATTTCTTTAGAAGGTTTTATCATTTCTTTTTCAATAATCAATTCAAATTTCGATCATTGTATTTTCAAACATATATCATTGACAGGTGATTCACTAGTTAGAGGGTTTTCTGTGAAATTTGCGGATATCCAATCACAATATATCAAGTTAATAGCATGATCAATATGATTCTCAAACAAGAAAGAATCTCGCTGTTTTGTAGAAAATCTTAGTATTGCCTGAAAAGAGCTAGTGTTTAATTTCTAACTTTAGGCTGCGATAATGGCGAATATGAATATGCAGAAAAATTTGAAGGGCGTACTCCTTCAGCACTTATAGTCAAGCCATGGTTAATTTTTAATGAATTAAATGAATTAATATTTTCGATGCTTTCTGCAGCGTCTTGAATTTCAGCCATAATATGTTAACGTCTATCATTTATTTCAACGATACTACATAAATTGTATTCTTGATGAAATAATATGAATGTGTCGAAAAAAAAAATCTAGGTGCAACTTTTATCACAAATTAACAGTATAACGATAAAGATATAGTAGTTAGTGTAACACCGATGGCCAAATTTGCGAAGGCGCATATCCTATTATGAGTATTTTTAGGGTAACAGTATAACAGAAAATGACGTACGTACGTGCATGGCATTAATATGAATCTGATTATAGATGAAATTAGAAAAGGGTACTTGAATGAGTTCAATTATAATGAATTTCAAATTCAAAAAAGAATTTCAGATGGCTCAAGTGAAGTTATTCTTGCTTATATGAAGACTAATCATAAACACGCCGTCCTCAAATTTTTAAAATGTAATCAAGATGAACATGAATATTGCAAAAAATTTCGCAGAGAGGTATGCTATTACCAAACAAGCTTAGAAGTTAGGTCTTTAATAAAAAATAAGCGGTATTTGCTTATTATTCCGATTGTGAATAAATAGATAGCAAATTTTCCCAAATGATAACGTAATCAGTTTTTATGGAATAACTAAAGGTGCTATTTATATTTATTTTCAAAAAAAAAAGTGCAGTGCTTTATTATTTGTTAATACGCTTTGTTTTTTAATTATTTAAGATCCTCTTAAGAAATTTCACTCTATAGTGCTTCAGTATTGCTTTAATAAAAATCTCAGGGAACATTTGAAAGAAAAAAAATTTGACTGGTTTTATAAAAACCAAATGGCTAAAGAAATTGCTACAGGGTTGGGATTTATTCATGCAGCAAATATTGTACACTGTGATCTGGTCAGTATATAATCTAGGAAGTGATTTTGTTGCATATACTGTAATTATAATCTTCAATAGTTATATTTTTATATTAACTATCAACAATAGAACTCAAAAAACATAATGCACCACAACGGCAAATTGGTGATTATAGATTTTAGCTCATCAATGTCTTCTGAAAATCAAGAGGAACCTATTCTCAAAATCACCGAAGAAAATGTTGCCTATGTGGATCCAAAATTCTTTAATAATACGCATAACAATAATAGATATGATAAATCTTCTGATATTTATAGATACTTTGGGAAATATCAAATAGCAGACCTCCTTTTAGTGATAATTTTGAATTATACACAAATAAACTTAGAGATTTTCTTACTCGTGGAGGTAGAGAAACTCCTGTTAATTTAACTCCTGTAGATTACAAAGAACTATATTGTGACTCATGGAATTCTGATCCTGAAAAGCGACCATCAATTAACGAAGTCATTAGTCGTCTTAGTGATATTGAGTTTGATTGTGTATATCAAGATTCTGATTATATCGATTATATCCCAGAAATTTCTTTGGGAAGTTCTTTTAGGAACATAACTCAGTTTACGTCGAATAAAGCGGCTTGTTTAGAGGTTATTAAAGGATCGGCTCTAAATTTATACATTTTCCTTCCTCCGGTCGAAATATCTGTAGGAAGGGGTAATAAGAACGATATCATTATAAAAGACCATAAAATTGCCAAAAAACATGCAAGAATTATTGTAAATAATCAGGGACAAGTCGAAATTAATGAATTAGGTTCTGATCATGGGATATTTATTAATGCAAAAAACTTGACTTTCATACTTCCTA